GTGACAGATACGGCCTGGATAGGGGTGACCCCAGGTTGAAGGGCGAGGCGGGGACGGTCTCCTGCCCGGGAGGTCCCCGCATTCTCCAGGATAGAGCCGGCTGTCAGCGGCAGGGGCCTGTGTGCCGCCCGCCCTGTCTCGGGGGATGAGCCAGGCCGCCTCTCTGCCTCTCCAGCAGGCCTTGCCCTGGCCTCCTTCTGACTGGCCGCAAGGCTGAGCCTGCTGGCTTCAAGTAGAAAAGCAGTGGTGAGACCCAGCGGCCCGCCCAGGCCCACGCCACAGCTCGCTTTATCACCGTGGGCTCCAACGGAGGTAGCAAGCGCGGAGCGGTCCACCCTGCGGGACACTGCTCTGTGGACCACCCCCGCCCCATCCCTTGTAGTGTGTGGGCCTCCTCCCCCCAGATGGCCTGACCAATGCTCTGACCGGCTTTTCGGCAAGTGCAGGTTTCCGGCGAGCCCCTCCCCCAGGATTGCCCAGGTGAGGTGCACATGGCGGCACCCCGGAAGGCCACACGGAGGCCGCGCCAGGGCCTCGCCCAGCTGCAGTGAGAATGAGTGGCACCCACAGAAACCCTAGGCATGCACAAATGCTGGTGCAGGGAGAGAATCGGTGTGGGTTTGTCACGCATCTTGTAATTACCTTTGTATTCAGCAAGGAGCCCTAGAAGCTAAGGGAGGAAGGAGGTGGTGGTGTTTTGGCCCCAAAAGAGTTGAAAACTACGGTGCCTTGCATTACAGGATCCTATTAATAATTAAACTATCTGTCACTTACCAACAACATACATTCCAAATTAAATTTAAGCAAAAGGGAAAAAAGGATCATTTGGGACTGAATTAGTGGGCTTCAGAGAGAAATAAATAATAATCAAACATCTGTGTTCTAAATAGTACGTGCTTTATCAGACAAACAACTGTTACCGTCTCATCGTATAAAATTGCTTGGGGAAAACACGGGCGCTGGCACACACCGGCTCGGGCAGGAAGGGGGAGGTGAGGCAAAGTTCATGGTGAGCTGGGGAGAGACGCAGAGCCGCCGTGCTGTCACCGCAGTGTCTCTGCGAGTGTCTATGCAGGCGGGCGCTGTGGCTCAGTCCGCCCCTGGGTGGGCAGGCCAGGGCCTCCCAGAAGATGCGAGGGTGTGGTGGGAGGACAGGCCAGGAACAGGACGTGGCGGCCGCTCCGCAGGCACTGAGCCGCCCGGAAGCGTGGCCCTGCCGAAGGTTGCAGACGGGAATTCACAGGTTTTGGGCAGCAGAAGATGCAGAATGAATAAACAGAGGGGTACAGAGGACCCCAGCTCTGCCGGTGGTGTGGGAGTGGGGGGCGAGGCCTCAATGTGCGATACACAGGGGTCACAGGCCGATGGTCAGCCTTGGCATTGGCGCGTGAACCCGGCGCTGTAGCTCAGGGAACCGGAGCATCGGCCGCCGCGTCCAGCGCCCTGCTCCCGGGGTGGTCACAGCCCATGGGGTGACGAGCTGCTCCCACCTGTGTCCCCAGCCTGTGCCGGTGAGGCACCGCGGCTCCCCCCGGGCCCGGGCTCTCATCCGCGGCGGCTCCTGAGCCAGCCACCGCCTCGGCGCAGCCTGGACACCTCGGGAGCCGGCGGCTGCGTGCGTGTCTTCTCCTTAGGTAACCGTGTTAAAATATCCTATTCCAGCTGTAGCACTTGTTCTGCAAGAGCCCCGGTTTTGTCTGACACAATATGGAACAACATTTGTCATCCGTTATCAGGGGTGATGTATCTGTTAGCCTGCAGAGTAACATCTGCTGTGTGCTCATCCCCAGCGCGCGGGCCAAGGCGCGGCGGCGGCGGCTGCGGAATTCCGGCGTCGGAAGGGGCTGTCCAGTGTGACGGGGAGGCGGGCTGGCAGGCGGCGGAGCAGCTTCCATTATCTGCCTCCTCGTCCATATTTATTTCTGTCAAATATTTCTGAGGATCCATACGTTATCTCTCCTGTTATGCGTTGTTGTTCGGCGGTGACAAGCCATTGGCATCCACAAGAGAAATTTATGTTACATATTAAATATGGACATCTGAATGATTATCAAATCCATAGAAGCCAAGCCTGGCCAATCACCCCTAAATAATGGATGAGGAGTAGATGTGACTCAATTTGTTCAGCGGGAAACCTCGGCGACCCCGGCCCTGCGCTCCGTCACCACAGCCCCGTCATTATCTGCTTCTCTTCATCTCGGCTGGCAGCGCTCAATATGCCGGGCGCCCGGGGAGGGCAGCAGCCCGGCCACGAGCGAGGAGAGGGCGGCACCGTCTCCCCTCCCAGGCCGGGCTTTCTGGTAGCCCCTGCCCGGGCGTGCCCCCATGCCCGGGACCCCTGAGCTCCCAGGGCCTGGCCACTGTCGGAGGGTGAGGGGAAGTACACACGGGATTGCTCGCTCCGTCTGGGTGTCAGCGAAGGAAGGGAGCGCACGTGTGTACGCACACCGGCACACAGCTTTCGGGCGTTTGGTTTTCCATTAGCTTTCCGATGTACTCGTGCGTGTGTGCGCGTGCCCGCGTGTCCGTCTGTGTCTGTGCACCAGAAAGTTAAGCAGAGCAGAATGCAATGGACCAAATGAACCTGACATACTTGCAGTTCAGACGTGCGGTCAGCTGCAGTCCTGTGTTTCGCCTGGCTTCCTCACATGGCTCTTGATTTCAGTTCACTTTGGCCTGGGACCCTGGAAGCCTCCAGTTTTGCTCTCTTCTGCCCTGGCCTCCATCGTACCTCCTCAGCAAGCGCCCACGCCTGGCCCAGAGCTTCCAGCACGGTCATGAATAAATGCAGGCCCATGCTTGCATACATACGTGCACACACATGTGCATACACACACGTGCACACACACAGAGGATTGGCCCAACTCTGTAGCGTGCAGAGTGCAGAGGGAGGGACTTGGAGACGTGACAAGGAAGCGTGAGCATCCATCAGGTAAGGGTGGGGTGGACAGGGTGGGTGCCGTGGCCAGGTACAGATCCTGGTGGAGATGGAAGGGTTGATGGTGAATGAATGTTGCTGGAATGTTCTTAGCAGCCAGGTGTGAGGCTCCGACTCCCCTGGGAACCCAGCTCCTGGGTGGTGTCCTCGCTGCTCCGTGCACAGCATGAATGTGCCTGTGTCCGGGAAGAACTCAGGAGAACTGGGACTGGGGTACCCAGGGGGCGGCTGGGCTTTGCTGAGCCCAGGGACGGGCGAGACGCAGGCCTGGTGCCCGCTGTGTCTGAGGGCCTCACCTTGGTGGCCTGCAGCTCCTGGCCGTGATCACCTCCCAGGACTGGCGCCCGCCGTCCAGACTGGCTCTCCCTGGACTCAGAGGCAGCCCCTGGGGGAAACCTTTCCTACCCGCACCCTTCCCTCACCTGCAGACAAACCAACCAACCGCGCAGGGCACAGAGGGAAGCTGCCTCTTCCTTGGAGTGGTGACAACAGGAAGCCGTGCCACCTGCCCTGACCAGGTCGTGGCTGGGGCAGGGCAGCCAGATGGGGGACCCAGCAGGCCCTTGGGTCTGCCTTGCCCAAATGCCGGATCTGCATTTACCGTGCACGTTCCTGCAGCACACAGAGCCAGGCCGCGAGGGGCCCTCGGCAGGCTCAGGTTTCTGTTCCTGTAGCAGCCCCTCCAGGGCCCGGCAGGCGGCCACGTGATGGTTCCAAGGCACACATGCCGGCCCGTGCCGCAAGGTGGTCCCATCCTTTGGTGAATAAACCCAGTCTACAGCCGACATCCACATTCTTGAATTTTTATGTGCTCAAGAGGAATCCGGGATTTGCAAAGTCTCAGCACATATTGCCAAAATATTTGATTTATTAATTTATAAGAAATGAGAGTGACTTTAGATGGAATCGAGACACACCTGCACCTCAGGGAGAGGTCTGGTTTTACCAGGTCCCCTGACTGATGTTTCTAAGTTTAAAACCCCTCACCTCTGAAAGCGCAATTGCATGAAACGAGTTGGACCGTGTTTGCTAAGGGTCTTCAGCTCCATGGGAAAAGATCCTCGCAGAGGGCGCTTCAATGAGAAGTTTCCCATTAAATCAGAAAATGGGTTCTCTCGCTCGCTCGCCCTCGTTCTTGCACTCTCTCCTCTGGCTCTCGGCAGCGTGGTCAGCCTCCAGCCCCGGGCCGCGCAGACGTGAGAGCCCTGCGCACACTACCAACAGACACTGCAAGGGAAGACTTGTTAAGGTTAAGGAGTAACGTGCTTCAGGAACGCCAGGAAAAATCTTCATTTTTCAGAGGAATGAATACATGAAGGGAAGAAATACAGCCCGAGGAGGGTAAAACACAACTGGTGGCTCTGGAATTGCTGAACGGGGACAGTTTCTAAACCACAGAAGGTGACAGACACAAGGTGGGGAGTGTGGGAAACCCTGCAGACTTTGGAAAGCTACGAGCAGTGGGCGATTCAGCACAGGGGAAGTTCGCGTGGAACCTGGCCCAGACGCAGAGCCGGCGGTGTGGGGAGGTGAGTGCCCATGGGGAGGAGGTGTCCCAGGGTGCTCAGCTCCGCAGAGTCCCGTTTGTGGACACAGGAGAAGTGGGATTCCCTCCTCTTCACACGGAGGGGCAGAGCCCTGTGCCCAGGGAACCCGTACGAGAAACAGGTCCAGCGTGGACACAGCCCGACTCCCACACCCAAATGCCAGCGCTCGGGAAGCAGTCTCTCTGTTTGGAGACATCCAAGGGTTGAGCCTCTGGTAGGCGCTCCCCGGGGCGCCCAGAGTGGCCCGGCATCTCCAGTGTGCTGCCTGGTTTGCGCTGACCCTGGCGGCTGTGGTAAGGCACCAGGCACCTGTGACTCGGGAGCAGAACAGAAGCAGAGGAAGCCGGGCAGAGCAGAGCTCAGAAGAAACGTCCCATTGCGTCCCAGGTTCAAATCCATTCTGACGCTGCCAACCCTTCCATCCAAGAATTCAAGGCGGCCGCAGAGCTGTTTCTCCTCCAGGTACTGGCACGGTCAGTGCCAGAATGCGGAGGGAACAGCCGCTGTCCCTGGAGGAAAAGGAGGCAGGCAGTAGTCCCCGAGGTTGGACGCCCCTTTCACCGGCTCCTCCTGGAGGAGCAGGTAGGCGGAGGCTCCTCCGTGACACTGCTGGCACGGGGGCCCCTGCTCTTCCTGCACCTGTCTGAGCCTCTGTCGCCAGCCCGGGGGACCGCCCACGCCGTCCCGGCTGTTACTCTGAGGGAAATGGCGTGTGCGGGAGCGACTTGCAGGGCATTTCGCGTCTGAGAAAAGCCTCGTGGGGAGCTGCGTCCCGCTGGGCGCGGGCTTCGGCACCACACTTGGAGGCCGTGCTTAGAGGCTGTTACGGATCCAATTTTTGTAATGAACATTTAATTAATATTAATGTTACGCTAACAAAATACATTGATTAAATAACTCCTGTAATTCATTAAATATCTGGCTAGGAAGTAGCCAAGTGCACACGCTGTGCACTTCTCCTTGGAAGCTTCGGAAGGAGACTGCGATGCTGAATTCCTGAGACGCGATTCGGTGACGACGGCAGGATGGCTGGGTTCCGTCAGGGCTTTGGGTGCTGGTAAAACACCCGGTGTGGCTCACCCACAGCCATCTGCGTTCCTCCCCTCATGCCTTCCTCTCTAGATGCTGCAGAACGTGCACCAGGCGCTGGTGTTAACTAACGCTCGCGCACCGGTCACTGAGGCAGCCGGGCACTGCGGTGACGGTGACGGAGCCCGGCTTGTGTGCAGCAGCGTCCTGCCGACCCTGCCGCAAGTGCATCCCGGGAGTGCAGCCGGCAGGACTCGGCTATGCTCCACGCGGGCCGTCGGGAGCCGTCCGTTCGCGCCCACCGCCCGCGCCACCCCTGGCGCTCCTGGTTCCCACTCAAGAACTCCCTGACTTCACCCACCCCACTCTCGGGGGCCCTCACAGGAACCTCAGTATTTGGCAAATTATTTGCCTTTGTTGCATGCATTTTTGTTTATAAAATACTAATTACCTCTTTTATTGTTTGAAGAGATTAAAAGTTAATAGGAGAAACTAAATAAACAGAATGCCATTCTGCACAAACTATATAAGCTGGTAATTAATTTCTGGCCTCCTCTGAGCTAATTAACTCATATAAAGAAATGAAGTTAATGAACCATAATTCTAGTCATACAAGTGTAGATACAAGCAGTTTGACTTAATGAATTAATAAGATATTTCCTTTCTTGGAGGTTTTTCAATTGTCTTCCTCATCTGAAGGCCCCGTTAATGCTCCGTTCCTGTTAAAATGCCTAATAAATGGCAGGGGGACCTGGAGACGGTGTTGGTGGCACAGCACCTGTCACGGGGGAGGGTCTTCGTCCCTGACCCCAGCCGTCTGAGGGCTCCCCGGTGCGGCCTGGCCATGCGGAGCCCGCGTGTCCCCTCTCCGTCTTGCTCCTGCGACACGCTGGAGCCGACCCACGTGCAGGCCGCAGCTGCTCACCAGCGCCACGCCAGTCCCTGCGCCCACCCCAAAGCTCTGAGAGGGGCCGGAGGTGAGTCTGGGGCAGGGAGTCTCGGGCTCCCGCGGGCTCTCATGGGGCAGGAGCCCTCTCCTGTGGTATCCAGAGGCGGCACGTGCCTGCCTTCCATGTCTTGAGCCTTTTTTCAGGAGCCAGGCCGAGATGTGTTCCCTGTGCAAGTCCACATTGAGGCGATGCTGCCTCAGACCCCCGCTGTTCACGGCGCTGCTTCCTGGGACTCAGCACACTCCCGGGGGCCGGGCACGCACACGCTGTACCCAGACGCCTTGCACAGGGTCCAGGGCCCTGGCTCCCCCCACAGAACACGTGCAGGTGTTGCCAGGGCAGTGGCCCGTCTGGAAGGACCGAGAAAACAGTGACAGTAGCGGAAGTGATAATAACAGAAACGACAAGGACAGCAGTGGCACCCCTCACTGGGGAGGTCCAGTGTGGGAGAGCCGCAGGCCAGTGTCCCCTCTTTGCTGGCTGAGCGCAGGGCCCGGTGCTGTGCCCCCACGCCTGCAGGTGCTGGTCCGAGAAGCGGGGCATGCTGTGCGGCTGACAGGAGACCCGCACGGCCGCACCCAGCAACAGCACGTGTGGCCCCTCAGGGTCGTCCACCTCTCCGGAGGCTGTCCCTCGAGCTCGGCCTGCCCTGCCCTGGATGGACCTGCACAAGGAGGAGGTGCTGGGGCCATTCAGGAAGGGACGGCAGCCAGCACCCAGCCATCAGCAGGTGCAGAGACTCCAGCTACCTCAGTCAGTCCCCCGGGGTCAGGGAGGGCTGGCCTCACACTGGCCCCCTCCAGGCCTCGTCACTCTGACCTTCGCGCACGACACGCCCAGGTCGGCTCCTGGTCTCACCTCCGTGCACCCCCACACTCAGCCCAGTCAGGGGGTGCATCAGTGGCCCGTGCTGCAGCAGGGCTGGGACTCTCCGGCTGCTGGACAGAACCCTGCTCCGTCACAACTGCTCTGCACCCACCAAGAGCCGCAGGGGCCATCGGCCAGGGTGTGGCTCCCCCCGGTCTGGCCAGAGGCCCCAGGTCTGACCCTGCTCCTGGGTGCGTCTTCTCCGACTGCTCCCCTCAGCTCCTGAGCTGTGCGTTCCTTCTCCCCCGCTTGCTCAGGAAGACGACTTCCCAGCCAAAATTCTGGGTCAAAAATGATTCCCCAGTGACTCAGACGGTTTCTCTTTGGTGTGAATGATGTTCGCAGGGGCTCCCTGCACCCGGGGACAGTGACTGGACAAGGTCCAGCACCAGCCCTCTGTTTACATTCGGCATGCAAGGGCTCTGTCAGCCCGTGATCCACCTGCCAATGTCACCTTCCTTGTGATTCAGGCCTGGGTCACACCATGGCCATCTCCCTCTGCCGCCCGCACTGGCCGGCGGTTCAGGTGCCTGAACCTGTCACTGTTTAGCAGCTGGACTGACACTGAACAAACACAAGGGCATCACTGTCCCCGAGCCCTTGGATCCCAGGAGGACCTGTGTGTGCAGGGAACAGGACACAGGGACCTGTGTGTGCAGGGAACAGGGACCTGTGTGTCAGGACCTGTGTGTGCAGGATGCAGGGACCTGTGTGTGCAGGGAACAGGGACCTGTGTGTGCAGGACTCAGGGACCTGTGTGTCAGGACTCAGGGACCTGTGTGTCAGGACCTGTGTGTGCAGGACTCAGGGACCTGTGTGTCAGGACCTGTGTGTCAGGACCTGTGTGTGCAGGACTCAGGGACCTGTGTGTCAGGACCTGTGTGTCAGGACCTGTGTGTGCAGGATGCAGGGAGCTGTGTGTGCAGGACCTGTGTGTCAGGACCTGTGTGTGCAGGACTCAGGGACCTGTGTGTCACGACCTGTGTGTCAGGACCTGTGTGTGCAGGATGCAGGGAGCTGTGTGTGCAGGACCTGTGTGTGCAGGATGCAGGGAGTGCAGGACTCATGGACCTGTGTCCTGTGTGTGCAGGGAACAGGGAGCTGTGTGTGCAGGACTCAGGGACCTGTGTGTCAGGACCTGTGTTCACGACCTGTGTGTGCCAGATGCAAGGAGCTGTGTGTGCAGGACCTGTGTGTCAGAACCTGTGTGTCAGGACCTGTGTGTGAACTGATGCCCGGAGCTGTGTGTGCAGGACCTGTGTGTCAGGACCTGTGTGTCACGACCTGTGTGTGCCCGATTCAAGTACCTGAGTGTCACGATCTGTGTGACACGACCTGTGTGATAAGACCTGCTGCTAAAAAGTTTGTAGTAGCTGTGTGTCCCATGACCTGTGTGTCAAGATATGAGTGAGTCATATCCTAGAAGCTAAATTCCATGATACATATGTGACAACTCAAAAGGAGTGCATGCATAAATCACCCACGACACACTGAGATGGTTTTCTCACTTTTTGCCTGTG